CTCTCTCTCTCTCTCTCTCTCTCTCTCTCTCTCTCTCTCTCTAGTACTAACCTGTGAAGTTGGCGCCTTGATGCAGGTACCTCGAAGATGGAGCTGGAGCGATGGCGCCACAGGTACGTACCACTGGCCTCCGCCAGTGTCTCTCCCCACTCTACTACCTACCACCTACAGCGCCCAGCGCTGAAGACCACTGCTATGGCTATGGCGCCCAGCGCCGAAGACTACAGCTAGCGCTACTACTACTGCCTAGCGCTGAAGACTACTGCAGGGCTCCTCCTGAGTGCTGCGACCGAAATGCCTACCCGTTCAGTGCCTGAAGCTCCTATGTACTATCACGGGTGCCTCCTGACTTGGGCGAGCAGTCTAGGAGGCTGCTCTTGCCAATAATGTCGAAGGGAGGCAGGGGCTGCAGCTGCCGCTCCTGCTCGTGCTCTTGCCAATAATGCCGAAGGGAGGCAGGGGCTTCAGCTCCTGCTCGTGCTCTTGCCAATAATGCCGAAGGGAGGCAGGGGCTGCAGCTCCTGCTCGTGCTCTTGCCAATAATGCCGAAGGGAGGCAGGGGCTGCAGCTGCAGCTCTTGCTCGTGCTAATGCCAATAATGCCGCAGGGAGGCAGGGGCTGCAGCTGCAGCTCCTGCTCGAGCTGGCGTGGGAACAGGCCAGAAATAGCCTGTTCCGAAACCCAGTTTTCGTGCCTGAATCTTAGGGTAGGTCGGAACAAATGAGGGCCTAAAAATAGCCCAGCGCCTAAGAATAGCCCTCCGTTTCAGGCTGGAAAAACTCTGGGTCTGAAATAGGCTGAAACGGAGTAGGGCCTGCAGGCCCTCGTTTTTCAGTTTTCAGGCTGAAACGACYGGGGCCTGTAGCTCCTAAGTTTTAGGCTTTAAGGCTGAATGTCCGGGACGGGTCCTACAGGGCCCGTGTGGCTACGCAGTCTGCCACAGTAGTCCAAAGGGCTCCTACATCAGATCAGCATACTGGTTAACCACCTGCTGTATCTCAGGAGGACAGGAAACAGGGGGAGTGTCTGTTTGCTTGACCAGAGCTAAAAACAGACGCTCATGGTCATACTGGCGTGAGAGGGCATAAAACTCCCTCACTCTCAAGCAGAAGCAAGATGTTTTAGGGTGGTGTTCAGCAGCAATCATGCACCCCCTTGCTGTCCGGCAGCTCAACTTTGGGGATCTACCAGTCAATCCTTGGGTTGACTGCTTTCAGCCACTGCATAGAGAAAACCAAATCAAAGGGTAGATCAAGGAATATGTAGAAGTTCAGACTATGTCTGACTTCTCCAGCGCTGTCGAAGGCAACAGGTATGCCCCTGACCTTCTCCCTGATAGTGAGAACAATGGAGTCACCTATCCTGACATGCAGTGGTTGCTGCAACTGCACAACTTTCATGCCCAGATGCAGTTTCTTAACTGGACTGGGAGACATGAAGTTTCTGGTGGCTCCACAGTCCAGCAATCCTTTGATTCTGCTGTGGTTGATTAGGGGCTGAAGTAGGATGAGATCAGACTTGCTCTTCTTTTGTTCTTTCAGATGAAAAAAAAAAGCAGCAACGGACTGAAGCTCAGACTGCTCCGGTTCCTGATCCGGGTCAGGATCCTCATAACAAAAGGATGCTGCCCGTGCAGTCCCCACATTGGGATAGTCACTCAGAGTCTCAACTGAAGCTGCTGCAGGTGCATCGCCATCAGCCGATGAACAACTAGCACTGGAGGGAACTGCAGTCTCCAGGGTCAGCTTCAGTTTTTTGACTGTGCTGGGCTTGGCATGTAGGGACAATCCTTGAGAAAGTGCTGCCCCTCACATCTCAAGCAAAACCCCCTTTCCTTCCTCTTTCTTCACACTCCCTCCTGAATTTTCAGATCATGCCAAGGGAGAGTGTTGGGATTCAAGGGGTCAGCTGGGAAACGGACGTCTCTTGGCAGGTTAGGGCGCCGGGCAGGGGTAGAAGAGCAACGCCCCTTGCTCTTCCCCTGGCTGCTGGAGGTTGTGCTGGAAGAAGACCCGGCCTTCTGGAAGGCTCCCAGCGCAGCCTGCAGCTGTTGCATGGCCGCTGCAACATCTGAAACAGCAGCTGATGCAGTCCCCTCTGGCGGTGCACCAGGCCGGGATCCTGAATCAGAGGCTGTGTCAGACCCTGCATGCACAAAGGCCGATTTTCCCTTTCTACCACCGCGAGGGAAAGCGCCTTTCCTCCTGTCACTGGAGGGGGCCTGGACATGGAGCTTTGCTTCCATATCTAGGCCTGCACGGCCGAAGGATCTCCAATCCTTATGCCCTGCACTGTACAATGCAATAGAAAACTTCTCAGGCGCAGCCCTGAGAAGTTGGTCAGTAAATCATCATCAGACATGATCAGACCATGGGTGGAGGTTAGCTGTTCAAACTCTGCAAACAAGGATTGCAGACTGCCGCTATAGCGCTGCTGACCCAGACATGTGATCTTGTCAGCAGCCTTGCTGGGCCCTCCAGCAGGCCCACAACGGTGGCCACTTTCTGCTGTTCTGGGCACACGAAACCCTTCAGATAGGCCCGGATTCCTGCAGCCCAATCCCCAACATCAGTTTTGGGGTTATCACCCCTAAACTTGCTGGGCGCAGGGATCTTGGGTCCTCGCTGATCCCCTGCAACAACAGCAGCAAAAGTGGGAGGAGGTTTGACTTTAGAGTGGGAGGAGGTAGAGGGAGATGACTAATGAGAACCATGAGGAGAGGGAGGAGGTGAAGGAAGTGGGGAAGACTGTTTGGGTTTTGGAGATGATATCACAGGAGCAATCAGGTTGGCTGCTGTTAACTGAGCAGTCAGATTCTGTATCGCGTCCAGTATCTTGGACTGCTGAGCCCACAGTTCATCCATCCTGCGCTCCAGGCGCTGTATACGATCATCCCAGTTAGTAAAATGGTTGGCGGTGGTTTTGTTCTGCAGAATCACCAGCTCAGCCAAGTACCTGGTACACTGAGCTACCCTCTCATCTGTCGCAATCTTCTCAGCCTGCTGCAGCAGAAACTCTTTCCTAGAGGCGTCTGTTGCAGCTTCCAATTCAGTCGCCTCCTGTCTCTCAGCCTCTGCAACCAGCGCCTGTTGCTCTCGCAGTTTTGCCTCAATTTCTCTCTTTCGCCGCTGAGCAGGTGTGAGCGGAGGAGGAGTAGAGGGGGAAGGTTTCTCTTCTCCCCTGACCACAATCTCCACCTGCCCCTCACCCGAGTCAGTGGCGTCAGTCATTTTCCCCTCCAGAAACAATTAACAAAGGTTAGACAGCAAGAGGTGCAGCTATTTGCAATCCACTCAGACACTAAAAAATCGTTGCACTATCAATTCACTGGGTAAGGTGGTTAATAGGCACAAGCGGTTAGGGTTAGAACACAATCACTGGGGTCAGCAATCAGACAGACAGGCAGTCCGGTAAAATCATTCACTAACGATTTCCTGTATCTGACGCTGAACCATCACTGGAGTGGAAACATACACTTTCAGTGCATTCTAGAGATCACTAACATTCCAGAGCCCATCAGAAAACAAAGATAATCAGTGGTAGAGACAAATACAGACAAGAACTGACTGAAACAAAGCAACAAGAAGCAGCGATGCAGTAGACTAGACCCTAACAGCCCCAAACTCAAATTTCGCCACTGTTGACATCAACAGAAATACTCACTGACACAGCGATTTACTGTATTTCATTATAACTACTCAAATTCACTAATTTTGGGCCAGTGCTTTGACACAGATGCAGACTTGAATTCTGACGTACAGATTCTAAGTTTTGACTGACCCTAGATAGCACAAGCTAAAAATAGACTCAGCGCAAAACTAAAATTCACAGTATTACTACTTTTTCTGTACTGAAGTCATAGACTGAGCATACAAGGTGCAACACAATACTGTCATGCAGTCCCAGAACATATTTGAGTCTGAAAGAGTCAACAGATGGGGAGATATGGGTCAGGGTGAGAAGGAAGAAGATGGCTATGGCTGTCTTGCAGTTAGACAATTCCTAAATTGAGACCCTACTGACAGACAGGCCATCAATTCAAACCCTACTGCTTCTAAGCTATCGCTACTCAGGGATTTACACGGAACACACTCACTTGCAGTGTTTACTCCAGTGGATGATGAAGTTCTGGCTATGGCTGACAAAGACCCTGATCTCGCCACTTTCTTGCAGGAACTCCTCCACTGATCCCCATGCGTAGAATCTCTTGAAACTTGTTGATCTTGCTCAGTACCATGTGGCGCTTCAACCCCAAGTGCCAGATTCAGAGAATCTGATCCAGTGGCTCTAGAGAACTCTCCTGAAGATTTCTCGCCACTGCAGAGGTAAGCCGCTGCTGCTAAATTCAGCTCTGATTAGGGCTAATTCAGCAGGAGACTGATCTTGCGATCAATTCTTCCTCAGCGCTATACTGGGTTTGATGCCTCCACCCAGTTATCACCGGATTAGGGTGTAATTCGCCACCCTGAACCAGTCATGAACTGAGCTCAGAAGGGTGGATGGCGAAATACCCCTGTTCTCGCCCAATCTTGTCAGGCGCTCAGACAGGCTCGGGGCGCCTGATCAATCGCACACTGATTCCTTGCAATCACAGCTTGTAGGTCTTCTCCTCTCTCCGTATCATCATTGAAGATGGAGATCCCACATGGATCTTCTTGCCAGATCGAGCCTGAAGGAGAAGATGCCTCTGTTGCGCTCAACCCTCAGTGCTCCAAGTCCGATCCCGCTCCGATACCACCTGTTATGAACTTGGTTGTCTGACAATTTCCTCGCCACTCACACACAGAGTATCTCACACATGCCCATACATGCACAAGACAAGGGGAGAGGAGACAGAGTCCACACTGTACACAGACCAGAGATAAGCAACGGAATGTCAACCATGCACAGATGGGGAGAATACACACAGTGTTTCTCTCTCTCTGACAAACTTCCAACAACCAATCACAAGATGACACTGCGAAGATCACAGTCGGAATATAACACTGATGATGAGCCAACTCAACTCAATTAACCCCAATTATCGTTACAGAGTTCAACTCAGTATCTCGCCACCTCAGAACCACACACTACACCCAATACCCCACTCTCAGAGACCAGCGCCACACTGAAACAGCCTCCCAGAGGCAAGCGCCATCCACCAAGGTGAAGATCATGAACTGCGATGAAGTCCTCAGTGCCGACGAGTCACTCTGACGAGGAAGAAGGCAGCTATGGCTGCCTCGCTGCTACAAAAGCCCTGCGAAGTAGGGCGCCAGCAACAGCATCCACCAGTACCCTCCGAAGAGCCTCAGAATAGCCCTGCCACACACAGATACCCGCAGGGGTAGATGCGCTGAGAGTGCCCCAGCTCTGGCAACCTCTCAGAGGCTGGCTATGGCTGTCATCACCGAGCTGAAGTCTGGGATGCCGCCTCAGACCTTCAGCGCCGCAAAACTTGGTTGGCCCCGAACGCTGCAACGCGAAAAATGAAAGACCAAAAGCCCTGAACCGATTTTCCCAAACTATTAATAGACTCACTAATCTAACCTAGACCTAGACCGGACTGACTGACCGACCGGTACCGTTGCTGTGTCGGCCTTTCGGCCTCTACCRGACCCGGCTATAGGCTATAGGACCGTCTAGCAGCATAGGCCGCTTAGGGCCTGTYTGTCCTAGGGTAGCCCGGGCCTGCTATAGGCAGTTAGGGTAGCGGTAGGAATTCGGGTTAGTACCGGGCCTGTATTTTCCCGGATTTGCAGATCTGTCCCTCACAAATTTCCTCACAGGCGGGTCTCTCGGTTAGCCCTCAGCCAAACAAAATTATGAAACTAACCTACCGGTTAGTGTACAGCCTTGCAGTCAATCTCGGCAGCAGAAATCAGCAAGTCATTGCATATTGGCCTGGGTCAGAATCGTTTCGGACTTCGGATACTGGGTCCCCACGCTTTGGCCAAACATTGGACTTTGGATACTCTGTCCCACAGATGCTTCTGCCAAGCGATGTTTCTGTCCATATATGGACTGGACCAGACGCTGGTCTACAGTGTCTTGCCCAGTCCTCGTCCAATCTGGACTTGCCCTGCTGCATCAGGGATGTAGGGACCCAGACAGGAAATTTTTAGGCCAGTCCACCGGACCAGACCTTTGGCCTGCATTGAGAACCATCAATCGAAGATTCGATCAAACGGTCCTGAGCACAGGCCACGGAGGCATTGCCATCAGGCCCAGCGCCGCATATAGTCGGGCCGGCCTCACTCTTGGGCACAGGCCGCAGAGGCATTGCCACCAGGCAACACAAGTCCGGTTTTTACGACATCCTCACAATTGTGGACCGCCTCACCATGTACTCAATCTGCTGGAAACTTATCTGCTTTTCAAAATCAGATAAGCGTGATGATAATTTTCCGGCGAGATTCTATTTTTCCGGCATGCTCTATCCAGGTGAGGCTCACTAGGTCCGGTGAAATAGAGTAACGATTCACTGAATCGGAAAGTGAGCTGTTTTTCAGAAGGCATACACTTTCTCCTTTTCTTAATGTGAAAGTTTGAAATTTAGGTGTAGCAGTGTTGAAGTTGACAATTAGTCTTCTAATCTACCACATTAGAGAACCATCCACAAAATTTATGTGCCAAGAACTTAAAAGACACAGTTGGACTATCAAATTAATAAAAGTCATTAACGATTCCTCGAGTACCAGTGCGCCATACAAATGATGTTCAATCTACCTGCTTGTTCATTTCCTCTTTAGATATTCTCTACAAATTTATGCGAGGATCTGGCTCGTCAGCAGGCCTAAGGGCCCCATTTTGGCATGTGCCCGCCCTAAGTGAAGGCGGGCCTGAGAAAATCATGAAGGGACCATTGTTGTCAATTTCGCATTTGGGGTTCACGCAGTTGCGTCGCATCAGTTCATTGGAAGAACCCAGGCCACGGCCAGCACAATCAGACTCGCTCTCATTCACACTTCTCACCCATGCAAACAGGTGCGCAGCAAACTGGCCACAAGTGCCCACTCAGAACTCAGAGATATGGTAACCGAGAACACAGTTCAAATTCAAGTTCACTTCGATGGCTATGGCGACTCAGCGCCCACACAACTCTCTGTTCGCATACACAGGAGCACCCTGGATATCCCACACGCAATACTCTGAACACGTACACACCCACACACTGAACTCTACTACAGCTATGGCGGCTATGGCTGCTACTACCCTATCGCTATGGCTACACTCCTTCTCTCTCGCCCACTTCGTCCTCGGGCTCACTACAGACCACCTCGCACAAGTCGCTTGTGGCAGCGCTTCCGCATGGCTCACGCAAGAATGAATGACTGGGCGCTGCCTCTTGATTTATACTTCTGCAACTCGTTGGTCTGACCCTTTTCCATGCCCGAAGTGCACACAGTCCCATGCGGTACTTGCTTGACTGGACCAGGACTGCCTAGGACTGGGACTGCTGACTCAGCACGGGTAGACTCCACCACTTGCCTCACCACTTGCCCACTTGCCTCAGCCTAAACGTTGGCAACTTCAAAAGGCCACTACTGGGACCTTCCGGAAGGCCGTGGACTTGGCCTTTCGTTACTGTAGCCTCTACGACCTTGACCTTTTTGGAATCTAGCAGCTACAACCTTGACCCTTCGAGACTCCTACTCGACAAGTCTACAGATCGAATCCCTGCTACCTGTGGACCCTACGACAATCTACCAGCTGTTACAAATGCACAGGTCACGGATTCAACTCTAGGGGTCGACACATATACTATACACAGGTAAGGAGGGGGACTAGGGATCGAGCCCTGGGATCTGCATCAGCTACTGCGAACTGGTGAATACCGTTTCACTCCCGCCGGCCTAAATTCGAGGTCCTCTGAGAATAACTTAGTCCAAGGCAGGACCTTTACCTCTCTGATCTCTTTCGTAGGCTCTAACTATATCGGGAGCTGTCTCTAGAAGTTTTGCTCTAGTGAACCAGCGGTCATCCTCCGGCTCCTGATAAGCAAACCGGACCTTATACTGTTTTTCTGGACGACCTCTACCTCCTGAACACATCTTCACCTACAATGCCGTCAATGTCATATCTGCCGTCCATGTCTGGAGGGATCAAGGACCGTCTAGACGGAAACTGTTGACTGGTGACACACGGCAGCAACTTTGATGCGTGAAACATAGGGTAGGTGTGGAGGTGTGCTGGGATCTCTTTAGTATAGGACGACCCATCCTCTCCGCTTTTAACTTCTAGAACTGGCCACGGTCCTCTATACGCGGGCAGTAACTTCTGCGAGATGTTCTCCTCAGGCGCAAACTCTTTAGACTTGACCCAGACCAAATCACTCTCCTCTCCACGTCTTCTTTCAAGGGGCTCTTCTTCTTCTTCTTCCTCCTCCTCTGCTGCTGCTTCTTCCTCTACAGCCCTTCTTCTTTCCTCTTCCTCTCTCTCTAGCAACATCATCTTCTCCTTTTGGAATCTCAGCATCTCCTCCTCCAATCTCTTCTTCTTCGCCGCCTGCTCCTCTGCAATGGCCTTTAACTTTGCCTGCTTCAGGAGCTCTTTCTTCTCCTTTTTCTCTCTCAGAAGGACGGCAATCCGGGCCTGCTCGGCCTCGAAGGGGGCAGTACTCTTCCCACTGCGGGTGTCAACCATGGTGATTGGTGCACAACCAGACAATCGGTTCCACTCCTCACCACTTAGACTCTACTCCCCCTGACTGACTCACCTACTGACTCAATCTAAACACTTAAAGAATCTGGACACGATCCTGTCAACTAGGGTCACTAGCCTGGACCTACTCTAAGACTGTCACTACAAGACCTGTTGCTGATCAAGAGGCATTTAAGGAGATCCCCCGTAACTCCTCGGGAATTATTTAAAGTCACAGACAGGACGACGCGATCAGCAGGTCTTCTCAACACTTAGACGGTCTGTTGTGCAGCCCACAGCTCGGATTTTGGGCCTACCGTGCCACACCGAGCAGCCCGCCGGTCAGTACCGGTCCTTGGGAGGGTTCATGTCCTCCAGGACAGTCGAGTCGTCAGACAAAGTCTTTAGCCCTGCTCAGCCCGTGTGGGTTTGGTCAACAAGGCCCTATCCTTCATCCATAGAGTTCCTAACACCTAGACAGAAGAGACTCAATGCAGAAAGAAGGGACAAACAGACTTGACTCAGCAAGTACCACAGGGTATGTGCACATCCATAGGGCGAGGGGATAGGCTGAAGGCTTGGCAAGATTATACCGGCTCGAGCTTGGTCAAAATCGTGGTCAACAGCCTCGGTCAACTCTTGTCAACCTCAGTCAACACCTCTGGTCAACTCCCGGTCAACGCCTGGTCAACTCTCCCGATCAACTCCTCCGGTCGGCTATGGCTGCCGGCTTCTCCTTCCTCACCACCCTTCTCCTTCCTTTCTCCTTCCTCGCCTCCTTTCTCTTCACCCCGGCTGTCTTCTTTCTCGTTTTTTTTTTTTTTTATCGTCTCTCTTCACCTCCTCGGCTATGGTTTCTTTCACCTTCCTCAGTCTCCTCCTCCGTCCTCTCTTTCACCCTCCTTCATTTCTCTGTGGTCGAGCTCCGCGGCTATGGCCGCCGCTCACTTCATGGGACTGCACAGCACACTTCACAGGTAAGTGACAACCAAACTTATATCGCTCATCTCTCTCTCTCTCTCTCTCTCTCTCTCTCTCTCTCTCTCTCTCTCTCTCTCTCTCTCTCTCTAGTCGTAGCGATGTCTTCAGCGCACGTACGTAGTTAACCAATCTTGTATCGCTCAACCTCTCTCTCTCTCTCTCTCTCTCTCTCTCTCTCTCTCTCTCTCTCTCTCTCTCTCTCTCTCTCTCTGTGTGTGTCTCTCTCTCTCCCCTTCTTCATCGTGGTCGTCTCTGCAGGTGCGCGCGGCGGCTTCTTCAACCTCCGGGTCCGCTATGGCAGACTTCTTCTCCGTGGCCACTTCAGCTATGGCGCGTTACTCTCCCTGTGGCACACGACGATGCGACGCGCGTGGAACAACGGGTACCAGCTCCGATACCAATGCAATCAGACTCGCTCTCATTCACACTTCTCACACATGTAAACAGGTGTGCAGCAAACTGGCAACAAGCGCCCACTCAGAACTCAGAGATATGGTAACCGAAAACACAGTTCAGATTCAAGTTCACTTCGATGGCTATGGCGACTCAGCGCCCACACAACTCTCTGTTCGCATACACAGGATCACCCTGGATATCCCACACGCGATACTCTGAACACGTACACACCCACACACTGAACTCTACTACAGCTATGGCGGCTATGGCCGCTACTACCCTATCGCTATGGCTACACTCCTTCTCTCTCGCCCACTTCGTCCTCGGGCTCATTGCAGACCACCTCGCACAAGTCACTTGTGGCAGCGCTTCTGCATGGCTCACGCAGGAATGAATGACTGGGCGCTGCCTCTTGATTTATACTTCTGCAGCTAGTTGGTCTGGCCCTTTCCCATGCCCGAAGTGCACACAGTCCCATGCGGTACTTGCTTGACTGGACCAGGACTGCCTAGGACTGGGACTGCTGACTCAGCACAGGTAGACTCCACCACTTGCCTCACCACTTGCCCACTTGCCTCAGCCTAAACGTGGGCAACTTGAAAGGCCACTACTGGGACCTTCCGAAAGGCCGTGGACTTGGCCTTTCGTTACTGTAGCAGCTACGACCTTGACCTTTCTGGACTGTAGCAGCTACAACCTTGACCCTTCGAGACAGCTACAGCTACGACTCCTAGACCTGACTGGGACTCCTACTCGACAGGTCTACAGATCGAACCCTCGCTCTCTATGGACCCTACGGCAATCTACCAGCTGTTACAAATGCACAGGTCACGGGTTCAACTCTAGGGGTCGACACAGATACTGTACACAGGTAAGAAGGGGGACTAGGGATCGAGCCCTGGGATCTCCATCAGCTACTGCGAACTAGTGAATACCGTTTCAAGATGCTCAAACCGAACTAGGTCCAAGGCAGTAGCAACAAAGGCCGAACCACCCGAGGCCTACAGGAAGCTTATGGGTCCGGGCCCAACCCGGCCCAGCCCAGCCAGGCCGTTCACAGGTCAGACTCTTTCCATAAAGGACAGAGCTCGCTGCCTGGCCAGACATTCGATCGCTCACAGGCTGCTCCTAGCGCAGAGCAAGGTGCAGCGTACGTGCGGTCGTGTAGAAGGAAGGTCGCTGCTAAGGGCAGCGCCATATCCCAGCTTCCATAGCTGGTTGGGGCTTGGTGATACAGCAAGATGTAGTGGTGGTCTTCATGCATGGGGGAGAAGATGTCGATGAAAGACGGGGAGGAGAGCAAAAGAGAGAGATGAGGAGGATGACATGAGGACACATACCTGGTTATGGCGATAATCTGCAAACAGGCAACATCTTCATGTACTTCGGTGGCTGCTGACGTCAAGAGTTGTATTATCAATTTGTAGGCAGATAGTAGCTGCGTGGGAGTAGTCCGGGCGCCGAGCGCCAAGTAGGGGGAAGGGCCTGGACACTTACGTTGGTGATGACGAGAGTGAGCTCTCATTGACATTCGGTAGTGTTTCGATTCTCCATTGGTGTAATATTGGTGCAATGCTGCTTTCTGGAAACTGTGGGACTTTTTGGCTTTCAATGTGATTGTGCAATCTCGGTTCTGTCATCTCGCCATGGCTCATTTTCCTTGCAATTTGGTATCGGAGTTGGTTCAAACTACACTTGCTGGTTCTTCACAAATTCACAATAGCTGTTCGGTGCTTCACACGTGTTGGTGGGGCAGTGATAATGCTTAGGCGTTGAACGATCGGCGGCCCAGAGTCGTCTGGGCGTGCCAAGAAGGCTATGAGGTGTGATGGGGGTGTGCGCTGGATGATGAGAACTCGCTGATGTGGCATTTAAGCCGAGGTGGAACTGCATTTCGCTGTTTGTTGTGCCAACGCAAAGACCGGTCATCATAAATGCACGTCAGGTTGCTGTGAGAAATTTGTGGTTGGGGGCAGCATTATGAGGCACATTGCTCTCATCCTTATCTACCCTCTTCATTGCTTCTTACCATGAGAAGTGAGTTCTGTCTTGAGTCCTCTTCATGTGAGGTGTCGCGAGCACTCAACCTTGAGAGTCGACATTATTCCTAGGCAGCAAGCTGGTGGGGGATGGGCGAAGCCTCTGAAGGGCCTTGTATGAAGCACTCGGGTCACAGTCACCATGCCAACCTGCTCGGACTAGTACGCGCATGCTTTGCCGCAAGTCCTTGGTTCTGCTTGCTGTGCTGTTAGAGGTCATACTGGGCATGCCAACCCTATAAGAGACGCTCACCAGACCATCTAGAAATATTTCTGGCGGGTTCTTGTTGGACCCTGGCTGTGATCGTCGTCCTGATTGCGACATTAAATAATTCCTTACGACCGTGGGGGCTGTCCTTAAACTGCCTCTTGATCAGCCAGATCAACCGGAAGTAAGGCTCGTTGCATGCGAGGATAAAGAAAATGCAGGGCTGGCAGGCTTAGCATAGACTTGGGGCACAGGGGTGGGCATGCTGGGCATGACAGCCCTATAAGAAACGCTCACCAGACCATCTAAAAATATTTCTGGCGGGTTCCTATTGGACCCTGGCTGTGATCGTCGTCCTGATTGTGACGTTAAATAATTCCCCAGGAACGTGGGGGCTGTCCTTAAACTGCCTCTTGATCAGCCAGATCAACCAGAAGTAAGGCTCGTTGCATGCGAGGATAAAGAAATGCAGGGCTGGCAGGCCTAGCATAGACTTGAGCCACAGGGGTGAGCCGGATTGCACACCTTTAGACACGATGCTTAACCAGATGCTCAAGACGTCGACATATATGACTACTCAGGAGGGATACATGGGGAGGGAAGATATTGGCAACTGTCGCATACCGTAAAGGTGTAGACGAGAACAAGAACCGACCTCTCTCACATGGTACAAGATAGCGCAGTGGAAGGCTAAAATACCAATGATCCGGACAATCAATGTTGCAGTGCAGACCAAACATACATCAACATCATTCCATGGTGTGAAGGGGCCTGGTGCTCACACAAGAAGAATGCGCTAATCCCCAACCATACACAAATGAAGAAGAGGGGGGGTAGACGAAGAAGAGGGGAAGATGGGAATGTCGTCAACACCAAGTCTTCGGTACAGGTCCCAAATAATCCCTCATCCAACGTCTCAATCCCAATGTGGAGTCAGGATCCAAATGTCGTCAAGTCCCAAAGTCACCAATCTCTCTCTCTCTCTCGCGCGCGCGCATAGTCTGCAGATACTGAGAAGTTAGGTAGCRAGAGGGTGAGGGAGAGATGGTGGACTTAGAAGAGGAAGAAGAAGAACTCTCTCTCTCTCAGTCCAGTACTAACCTGTGAAGGTGGCGCCTTGTTGCAGGTACATCGAAGACGAAGCTGGAGCTATGGCGCCACATGTAAGTCTCCCTGGCCTCCGCCAACCATCTCTCTCTCTCTCCAACGCTACTCTAGCTCCTAATAGCGCCCAGCGCTGAAGACTACGGCTAACGCTACTACTACTACTGCAGCGCTCCTCCTGAGTGTTGCTGTTGAATCCTGAAGACTGCCTCTTGCCTCCTGCACGTGAAGTGCCTGGGAAGTCCCTATGAACTACCCCAAGCCTGCAGGGCGGACCAGTCTTATATAGTGCTGGCCCGTCCACGAGGCTGCTCTTGCCAATGCCAAAACGTGCCAGACCCTAGCGTTGAAGTCCAAATAAAGGTTGTCTTGAAAACAGGCCCAAGATGGCCTGTGCTAAAACCATGGTGCACGTGAAGTGCCTAGGAAGTCCCTATGAACTACCTCAAGCGTG